TGTTTACAATATAACGAAAGGAGAAGACAAACACCAGAGAAAAAGCTTAAATTATAATGCCAACCAGACTCTCAGAGAACCTTTGGCACCAGCGCACACTGGCTTTATCACACAAGCACGCCCTTTTCACTGAGCAATTCAACAGTTTCATCTAATGTCTTGTAATGAATAAATCATAATTGGACAATGATCCGCGTTTAAACTCGCAAACGATCACCAGCGCTCAATACAAAATCATTAATTATTTTAAATCATTTGCACACAAGTCCCTGATCAGCTTCATAAGTGACATGTAAATCTAAGTTACAACCAAGAGCTTTCTGTTTTAATATAGTGTGTCCATCGAGCAACTACCCGGGTAGCGGCACCAACCACAACCACCCTCCACCATGCAATATCATCAACTACTGGATTTTACTAGCTCAGCATTTCTCCCTCAGCCCTCCTCCCCCCCCACCAGACACGCGCACCATCTAACCCCATGCCTCGCTCCCGCTCCTAGACCCTCCCTCAATCAATCATCTGCTAGTCTATACTGTCGACCTTCGCCTGAAAATACTTGCAAATCAATCATCACATGTATCAAACATACTACTAAACGGAGCACTAGTAACTCCCGATCACATTATGCCTCCCTTCCATATTCAGTGACAGTCTTGCCCTAACCAATCTCCTTCATTCCACATTCCAACTCACCTGTTCAAGAGGCCTCAAAGCGTTCTCGAATATTGATGAACTAAGGGTGTGCAGGTGATTACTGTATTATTTGCTTGTATTTATTTATTTTTGTTAATGCTCAGATACATAAATCGACATTAAAGTGTAAACATACTGTATACAAAGATGGTCATGAACAAAGGAAACGTTAATGAATCGTCTAACTCTTTCCCTGAACTGACAGCAATTTACTCTAAACTTTCAAGTTTGGAAAGTATGGAAAGTGGAGAGTTCAAAGGCCCTCGTGGACGGAGCTGAGGTTCAATACAGCCTTGAGACCGGTCTATCGTTATACTGATCAATACAGACTGGTATCCTATGGTAACTGTCACGGGGGCAAAGATTGGGGAAGTAGAGTAAAAACGAGAGAGCTCTAGCTCTTTGGAACCCGCCTCATAGCTATCATTTGGATGTTTGAAATTTGGTCTTTGCTTTCATTCTTCAGTTCATTCAGTGTTTATAATTTTTGCATCTTAATCCTAAAATGATGGAAGCACTTGAAATAGGCTACCCTGTCAAAAACTTTGGAAACGTATGGAGTTAAGGCACGAAACAATTTTTGAGCCCCAACAACAAAGACTAATTAAGGAGAGGTTTAAACACTAAACATTGATAGTGGCAGTCATATAAAAAATTAATAATTAGAAACATTTCTCCGGGGTAGGTTAAGCGAGTGCTCGTATCCAAGAGGAGGAGACGTATTCTCAGAAGTCTAGACAGCCAACATAGTTGAAATTGAAAAAGAGGCAGACATCAGATAAAAAGGGTTGGTCAGGCAAGCCAAGATCCTCTAAGAGTGAGTTATATTCCAGAGTTGAAAAAGGTGTGCCTTAGCGGCTGAATTTGTCAATGAATAGAGCCGTCAGTATGCAACTGGAAGAAAAATACTGTACGACTTTTTGTGAACTCTTCTCTTACCGGTATATATTTATTCTTAATTTTAATTAATTAGTTCTAGTCGTATTTGCTTCAAACTTTGGATGGAGGTGGTAAGCAAAGGTTTTAGTGCACTACATTTGTTGCACACCTGTCTGCAAAAAGCAATGTACTGTATTCACTTACATGTATCTAAGCAAGTACTCTTCTAGATGTGCTTGCAAGATCAAATATCAACTATCTCCTGTATCTCAGCCACTAACCAGTTACAATAATGCAATAACTGCCCTTCCTCGTTCCTATAAACTATTATAAAATTGTTCATGTTGTTTGCTACTATGGCAAACAGCATGAACACTTAAGATTCCAACTGGTTAAGTTTCTTGCACAAAAGATGCTGTCAGTTACTCTACTATAAAAACTTTTAAACTAATCTTGTGTAGAGCTAGCTATCTTTATACTACATTGCCTTGCTATTCTCCTTTAGCTGCTATTTCTAATTAACTGTTATTTTGCATTACAGTATTTACTTCGTTTGTCCTCCCTCGAACATTTGTTAAGCCACATGTTTTCGGGCTTGCCATTAACATCTGATCTATCACCTAATCTGTCGACTACCTTACAAAAGCTATTACTTCTGGCATTTTGCCCATCCGTACGAAACTATTTCAGGGTTACTTGGTCAAAAAGGTTACAAATGTAACGTTTGCTTTAACTCATATCCTGTGCATATATTATAATATATTTAACATACAGTATTTATATTATAATACAGTATATTTATATTATAATTTATTATACTAGCACGAGAGTACGTTGCCGCGCGGTGTGACGCGCCAGGACACGTTGCCGCGCGGTGCGACGCGCCGGGACATGTCGCCGCGCGGTGCGACGCGCCGGGACATGTCGCCGCGTGGTGCGACCCGCCGGGACACGTCGCCCCGTGGTGCGACGCGCCGGGACACGTCGCCGCGTGGTGCGACGCGCCGGGACACGTCGCCGCGTGGTGCGACGCGCCGGGACACGTCGCCGCGTGGTGCGACGCGCCAGGACACGTTGCCGCGTGGTGCGACGCGCCAGGACACGTTGCCGCGTGGTGCGACGCGCCAGGACACGTTGCCGCGTGGTGCGACGCGCCAGGACACGTTGCCGCGTGGTGCGACGCGCCAGGACACGTTGTCGCGTGATGCGACGCGCCAGGACACGTCACCGAAACACGAAATATACTTATCATATCTACTTCAATATATATATTTAGTTCTGAAGATATAATATGTACCAAGTTCTTTAACTACCTCAACGTGTAACCCATTCCACTTGCTCACTTACAACAAGGCAGAGCTTCCTGACATCTCTACAATGTAGCTAGCTTCCTGCAAGTAGAAATCGTTCTACTGCTAGCAATTTTGAATACTTATTTGTTGTAGACGGACAGTAAATAACCTTTAGAATATCCTGAAATTATGTGTATTTCGTCCCCCTTACTGCGGACTTTACTCAGATTGTGTAATTAAATTAAACCCGCACCACTTGTACTTTCCCCACCTTTTTGAGGTAACGAGACATCATCCCTCAGCCCCCTCGCCCCCGTCCCGTCCATACAAACACCTTGAGGTTATCTTGAGATGATTTCGGGGCTTTTTTAGTGTCCCCGCGGCCCGGTCCTCGACTAGGCCTCCACCCTCAGGAAGCAGCCCGTGACAGCTGACTAACACCCAGGTACCTATTTTACTGCTAGGTAACAGGGGCATAGGGTGAAAGAAACTCTGCCCATTGTTTCTCGCCGGCGTCTGGGATCGAACCCAGGACCACAGAATCACAAGTCCCGCGTGCTGTCCGCTCGGCCGACTGGCTCCCCTCTTCCTCTTACCAGACCTACGCCCATCACCACCATTGTTCAACTAGCCCGCCCTGTGCATCATACATTTGTATCTGTCCATACATTACGTGGCAGCTTCAGCCTGCCTTTGGAAATTAATAATTAACGAAGATTTTATTAAAATACGAAGGGCGATTAAATAAAAATTCACAAGGGTTTTATTTTTGTAGTCGAGTTTTATTCTCCAGAAAACACCACCCGACTGAGAAAGAATACCCGGATGTAATGGGAGATTTGCTTGATCACAGGGGTCTTGCCTGGGCTTGATCCTTCCCGGGCAGAACAATGGGTCTTTCCGAATATATTTCCTCACGGATGTTGTATTTCAAATTCAAATACAATTGTCAAATACACTTTGACAGTGTCGTCAAAGTGTGTTTGACGACACTGTCACACCTCTTTCAACTCCCACCAGTAATATTAGCTATTCTTCACAAAGACCCCGTGTCCGATTATGCTACTTCAAAGGTAAGCAAGCCAACATTTAGTAGACAAGTGAGCATCTTTTCGACAGGCGCACGTGACCTCGCAGCCGAGTGGACAGCGCTTGGGAGTCGTAGTCCAAAGGCACTGGTTGCGATTCCAAGTCGAGGAAAAAACAAATGGGTAGTTACTTTCGCCTAATCCCTCTGTTCGCCTAGCAGTAAATATGTACCATGCTCTAGCTTACATCCTGGGAATGTGCGCGTGTGGTAGAGAAATAAATGCAGTAGATAAGATATGGGAAAATAGGTCGAGAGTCGGTACATTTAATACCCGACGGTTGAAAAGGCGGGGTCCAAGAGATAACAGCTCGACCTTGTAGACACAAACTGTCCTCCATGGACAGGTTTAGAGATGTGTTAAACTATATGTTTAACACATCTCTAACCCTGTCCTTGAAGGACAGAAGAAAATGTATATATGCTGGTTAGCATTGTAAATGTGTCTACCACGTCTGTGGTAGACACATTTATTATTCTCTACCACGTCTGTGGTAGAGAATAATAATAAAAAAAACTGTAAATACACCACCCTTTACGTAATCTGTGCAACTGACGACACACCTTGTTTTGAACACGAAATACTGCTTGTGCACGCTCTAAACAAACCAATATAACATAACACAGTAAAGCCCACCTCATCCACAACACGACCCAGACATACGTGTTAAAGCCCCCACCTCACCCTCAACCCGACCCAGACATTAAAGGAGAGCGCCCCAAACGCAACGCCGATTTAAAGTACATATTATTCGATAGAGTCGAATATAAACAGTACACATTCAAATAAATGAAAATTATGATATTTATAATCAATACGTAAACAAAATCGACAAAGTTCATAAACGTTAAATGTTGGTAAGTCACTAAGAAGTAGGCCTAATTTAAAAGGCAAAGGCAATCGACACCATATGAAGCAAGGCATCATTTATCGAATTCATATGACACCCATATACGCTATTCTTAAAGTTGATGGTTACTTAATTTATTACATAAAGCTTCCCATAACGTAATTCAGTATTCGGGTATGCGTGGAGTCAACTTACACATCGCTTTGAACAAACTTCAAAATGGAGACTCGTCCAACATGAACCCCTGAACCCGCTCCCTTTGCGATAACTGTCTTGACACCCACCGTCGCTTCCACCACTCTGACTCAGCAACACGTCATCAGCGCAGGGCCGGGCCGAGAGGCAGGCGGGGAGGAGAGGATTGAAGGACGGGATGCGAGGGATCCGACTGTGGGGAAGGTAGGAAGGCTCAGGGAGGACAGACGGACGATGAGAGAGCATGGTGAGTAGCAGCCAGTGAGATGATATGGAGGGTTGTGATGGTGTACATGGGGGGGAGAGGGAGGGATGGGGGGGGGGAGAGGGAGGGGTGGGGTGGGGGAGAGTAGGGAGGAGGGTAGTAGGGGTAACCAGGTAGCCGTCCGCCTCTTCTCACACCACACATACAACTACACTCGCTACATTAGCGAGTGTTAGTTGTAAGAACACAACTAAGGAATTAGTTGTGTTAGTTAATAGAACAGTAAGGAATGAATGGGCTGCAAAAATCACTGCTTGCTTGCTCCACAGGCGGCTCATGACTTATTTAGTCTAAGGCTCAATTCAGTAAATGATAGAACATTATGTCAAGACAATTTCACAGTAGTTAAATTAATATACAGATCAGGAAACAACCAACCTGAATAATCCTAAGGTAACACCACCCACCTGTCTCGAACACGCTTGCCGTGTGCTTTAACTTGCCTCTCTCTCCTCGACACCTTTCAAGTCGCAGCTGTGGTTTCTCTAGATTCACCCCCACTTCTGTCTGCTCTGCCCCAACATCTTTAACCTTTGTGGAAAACAAAAACACCAGCGACTTCCTTACCCCCCCTCCTCATTTGTCTAACACCCCTACCTCCCTCTTTCATGTCTCCCGCCCCGTCCCTCCCTCAAAGCTTGAAAATGATCGAGAAAAGTAAAAGTAGGGAAAATATATGTAAGCAGTCTTATATACCTATACAGTCCAAGCGAATGGATATGTAAGTCGTCGCATTAGGGCAAATCTGTGAGTCATAATGTCGGAAGACCTTACCTTTAAAAGAACACAAAGTAGCTGTCACAACTGTAAGAAAAATATGTTGGATCCTAGAACCTTTCGAACAAGAGGTGCCATACCACTGACGATACCTTTCGAGACACTAGTGCACTCTAGGGAGGAATATTGTTGCACAATAACAGCCTCATTCAAAGCTGGAGAAACTGCTGACCTGGAGTGTGTGCGCAAAGATCCTTTACTGCTAGAATCCACTCGACATCTAAATTAATGGGACCGACTAAACATTTTAAATCTGTATTCTATGAAGCCCAGGCGGGAGAGATACATAATAATTTCCAACCTCGCGTGGTGTTCAAGACATTAATCGATAAACACCTCCAAAGGATACCTCATCAACCAGGCTGTAGGTGATACGTTAGGCTGCAAGCAGCCGCGTCTAACAGGCTGGTTGATCAGACCACCAACCAGAAGGCCTGGTCAGAGACCGGGCCGCGCTGACGTTGATCCTGGCAATCATCACAAGGTAAGGTAGACCAATGCCAAGGCTCCAGAAATATATTACACGCTTCCGAACTGTTGCTGCTGATGCTACTGCAGTCTTACAGTTAACGGCAACGTGGAAAATTAATAACTGCGATCACATTTCAAAATACAAGTACAATATAGAATCACGATTTTGTGCGGGAAAGTTGTTACTGTAAAATGTGAGTTGTAACGTATGTGTAAACTCTCTTCATTAAGAGGATTAGAGCGACTGCAACCTTCTCGCCTGTCTCCTCAATCTTACCTTATAATTTTATTTTTCTCAATTTCAAAGAGTTCTTAGTGATATATATATATATATATATATATATATATATATATATATATATATATATATATATATATCACTGATATATATATATATATCAGTGATATATATATATATATATATATATATATATATATACACACACACACACATATATATTTACATACCCTCCTTCCTTCTGGAGATGTTTTAATATACGCAAGTACTTAAGTTAATTCGTTTCAATTCTTCCGTGGTCTGACACTCACATTCTGACATCACGTTAATTTGTGTTAATTTTCGTGATTTACACACACACACACACACACACACACACACACACACACACACACACACACACACAACATTTGTTTAGACAACCATTTACATTGACGCGCATGACACACTCAACAGTTAGCTGGCATGAAAGAACAAAGTTAACTACGCTACCAAACATGATCTGTGTCAGCAATGAGGACAGCTCCGCCGGCGATGTCTCATCTCACCTCACATCAACATTTTTCCTTCACTTTCACCTCCAATGTTTTATCCCCAATAAAAAAAAATTCTGCAGGACCCACAACTGTAAATTTCACCTTTTGTAAGGGAAATAACTTTCTACGCTTATTGACAGGTTGAAAAGTTGATGCCTCATGTTAAAAGTGGATGTTTCTATGCTACCTTTACCCTTCACATTTGTATCTACCTTTCCTAACGTACCTTTCGGTCTAGTTAGATATTTTATTGTGCAGTATTATTGAACCTAAGCCAATAGTACCCCCATGTGTGTGTGTGTGTGTGTGTGTGTGTGTGTGTGTGTGTGTGTGTGTGTGTGTATGTGTGTGTGTGTGTGTGTATGTGTGTGTGTGTGTGTGTGTATGTGTGTGTGTGTATGTGTGTGTGTGTGTGTGTGTGTGTGTGTGTGTGTGTGTGTGTGTGTGTGTGTGTGTACTCACCTAGTTGTACTCACCTAGTTGTGTTTGCGGGGGTTGAGCTCTGGCTCTTTGGTCCCGCCTCTCAACCGTCAATCAACAGATGTACAGATTCCTGAGCCTATCGGGCTCTGTCATATCTACACTTGAAACTGTGTATGGAGTGAGCCTCCACCACATCACCCCCTAATGCATTCCATTTGTCAACCACTCTGACACTAAAAAAGTTCTTTCTAATATCTCTGTGGCTCATTTGGGCACTCAGTTTCCACCTGTGTCCCCTTGTGCGTGTTCCCCTTGTGTTAAATAGACTGTCTTTATCTACCCATGTGTGGGTATGTGTGTGTGTATATATATATATATATATATATATATATATATATATGTATATATATATATATATATATATATATATATATATATATATATATATATATATATATATATATATATATATATATATATATATATATATATATATATAGTGATCTAAACTCACGAGACTCGTGAGCGGCCAGTTTCCTGTTCTAGCGCCTCAGTTCTGAGAGGAAATGCGTGCTTTATCCTGGGTATGCACCCAACCTCCGAGGAGCTGGATGAGGTCCTCGAACACTGATTGTTATATTGTCATATATGTGTGTGTTCTCTGTAAACTGTAGCATTGCAATAAAACAAATTATTATTATATATATATATATATATATATATATATATATATATATATATATATATATATATATATATATATATATATATATATATATATATAATAGGGGTAGTAAGAGAGGAAACGATTAAAGTGCAAGCGATGAGTCACAATAACGTGGTTGAAGTATGTTGACCAGACCACACACTAGAAATTGAAGGGACGACGACGTTTCGGTCCGTCCTGGACCATGATTGAGAAAGAGAGGATTGAGGAAACAGGGTTGAGCTGCTCTAGCAGTCTGTCTGATAGTGTAATGCCAGACATCTAACACTCGTGGTCCAGTACACGTACAGAACGAGTCACCAAATGAACAAAAGCATGGTGTCACCTTCGTACCAAATGTAACCCAAATTAGGGAGGTTCGATTTTTTTCGTTTTCCATCATGGTGGTCAAGTGTTGCTTCACTTTCTTATATGTAAAACAAAAGTATTTACTTGAATTTTTGCAATTTTCTTTTTTTTATTTGTACAGCATTTCCATCACCCCCTATGTGTGCCATTGCTCCTAAAGTTCAGAAATGCTGTCTTAGAACATAATAAAACCGTTTAGGTTACTCAGCATCACGTTTTCTCTAAACACGATCTGCAATCACTTTTACATCCTGGCTCCTATTACATACTGCTCGGTTTAGGAGCACGATAGGCCACTGGAAGAATTTAAGAGCAGGATGGGTTGTGGGAGAGGGGTTTTAAAAGTAGGATAGACTGGGAGGAATTTAGGACCAGGGTAGGTTGTGGGCCGGGAGGGAAGGGGAGGATTTGAAGCAGGATAGGCCGTGGGGGCTTTAGAATCAGGATTGGCAGTGGGAAGGGGGAGGGTTGGAGCCAGGATACGTTGTGGGAGGATGGATTTTGGGAGCAGGATATGCTGGAGAAGGGATTTGAAACCAGAAAAGCCTGTGGGCGGAGGGGGTGGGAGCCGGATAGGCTGTAGGAAGGGGGGCAGGAATTAGTATGTGGTGAGTTTAGGGTCAAAAGGTATGGAGTGGGTTTAGAGGCCAGGAAAGGGGTACGAAGGGCAGGCCACTGTTTGGAGGTGGGCCAATAAAGGGGTGTGAGGGATCTGTTTAATACACTTTGTACTCAAGAGGTTTTTGAAAATGCCAATCTTAATTACTTTACGAAATCAAAGCCAATTTAAGAAGAAAATTAAATGTACACAATTTAGCAAATTGCCTTTTGTTATTGGTCAAATCTAAAATGACAGGATCGCTCAGTCACCGAAGCCATGTAAATCTGCTCAATATATAAATTCAGGTGAGGCTGACAATGTACAAGACATAGACAATAAAATTACAAAACCACGCAAACCTAATTAATAGGATCAATGAAAAGTTAATTCATTAATTCGCACCAAACCCGACTGGCACATTTCCGCACCATGCACCTGGTGACCTAAATTTCGCACAATACCAGCAGAGGCGATTACAATTTCCGATGAACGGCGTGGGTTGAAATAAAAAAAAATTATTTAATCATACTTCCATTTTCCAATTAACAAATCTGCCAAGATTTCTATGTTCTTGAAGAGCAAAGATAATGTATTAGTACTTAGTTGTGACACAGATGCCACTACGTCAGCCGGTAACTTAACAGTATCATGACAGACCCCCACACCAAACGCCCGCATACACCAACCACAAACGATCCTAGAAATCACATGACGTGCACCTATGACGTCATAACTTATGCTTGCCCGGGAAATATGCCTAAATTGTGTCAAGAGACGCCGGTGTTGTCCATTCACGTGGCGGCGATT